CATTTGATTTGTTTTAATTAAAGTCAATTTAGCTTATATCATCAATTGTGGACGATACCTCCCACTGGAAGTATACCTACCGTTTATCTGTGGGATATATGGCGCTGATTATCATCTATCGGAATGGTCAAATGCACAACTGAGAAATGTTATGGCATTACTTCAGCAACCACCAGAGATGCTGCTTCAGGGCTTATTGCCTAGCGATATTTCAATAAATGAAGTAAAGCAAGTTCGACCGCCGGGCATTCAACGTGCAATCACGGCTATCAGAGAAGAAAAACTGAAGGTAGGAGTGATAATTGATATTTAATTCAATCTCGAACAAAATGAGTTCCTTATCGTATACACGTCCGTGTTCGTGTCCCTCTGTGATATCCAAGCGTTCTTTCTCTATTTATTTTGACAATCGTTTTCAGAGATGCAATAAGGTTTTGACGCCATTTGTCAGACGTATTTTCAATTCTGCTTCTCCAATTGATTTCTCAGCGGCCGTTGGCGAATTCAGAAAATTGGTTGATGATGTGAGGATTATGGTTGACAATACTATCAATTCACATAACAAAAATATCAGCAATGTTGTATTTAAAATTTGATAGCAAATTTAATAAATTAAACTTAGTATTAATTGAGTGAGGAATGTTAGATGTGGGATTTGAAATTGAATTATCAGAGACATAATATTGAAAGAAAGATTGTATTCTAAATTCATAAGTTTGCTCTTATTTATGATTTTCAGTTCTCTGATAATAAATTAAAATTCAAATTATTCATGAATGAAACTTTTTTGTATTTTGTGACATGCATAGTGTAAATTATTGTTTGTGTACTTAATTAATTTGGAATTTGATGATTTAAATTTAGTATTAATTTGACAGATGCGTCGATGAATGTTAGATGTGGAATTTGAAGTTAACTATTAATCCTAAAAGAGTTTAAGTATATATTTCTTCGTTATAATGCTTCTTTCTTCCATTTTTTCTTTTTTTAAGGAAAGCAAAATTTCTTTGGTATTATCAAATGTTGGAACCTTTATCTAATATTATTGTTTATTCGTCATGTACGCTCTTCATGTCTTCTCTTTTGCTTAGTTTTCTTTTTTTTATTCAAAATAAAGTTTTCAAGCTAAAAATGTGTTTGCTACTCAATATAATGATTGGACTATCAAAACATTTGTGACAAATAGCAAGAATTCAATTAAATATATCAATCTAAGAAGCGGAAAATCAAGGATCTAATTATTGTGATCTTTTTTGTGATTCGTTTTTGAGGAAGAACTTTGGGTGGCACTGTCGAACAGTTGTGAAAATCTATTATTTGATCTTAACTAATGCAAATTAACAGAAATTTTCGCGAGCAAAAATGACTGCTTGGTCGTTTTTACTGATTGAATAGATTTGAGATTGCTCGTTGAGATTATTGGTTTAAAAAAGTTAAATGCATCGGAGTTCAATGCAATAGAAACACTGGAATACATTCTGAAATGTAAATTTCGCACCACATAAACTGTTTTGGTAATGCAGTTTTTTTAGAAAATTTTCATTTATTTCACACTTCCAACTCTCGCTCGACAGAGTACTTGTCAGTATTTTTTTCGTTTGATTTCTGAAACTCGTCATTGTTATCTTTTCTAGCATCGTTTTCCCACATAAACACGCCATCAGAAAATCCGGAAAATCTACTTAAACTGTTTCAGGATTAATAGGTTAACTTTGATTAGTAGATTAACTTTGGTTAACTTTTTTAATAGGTTAATTTTTTATATAGTTTTTTGACAACAAATGTTTGCTTTGAAAGTGCGCTAATGCACTTAGCACTTTGAATCATTTCTAATAGGACTTTGAATCATTTCCGCTTCTTCTGTAGTGGATGCAGCGGCAAAACATTCTGGTCGTCTTCTATTTCTAGTAAACCCACACCCATGTTATCTTCTGATTTATGAAAACGAAAAATGTCAATCATTGTTTGTAAAAAATATTGTTGCAAATAATTTATTAAGTACAATTAATTAAATTAAATTTGAGCCAGTTGACTTATTACTAGAATGAAAACTTTTAACAGATGCTATTAAAGGAACTGCACAAATATCATTGCTGAATATTTGAATAGCAACACTTCGTCTCATTTAGTTTTACTAAACCTCTACTAAAAACTGTACTTTAAGAGTATTTTGATGAAATGCATTAATAATTTCATTGTCATTTCTGCTATTTCATACTGCCAATTTGAAACAAATAGTGATATTGAAGCGATGGAAAGGTTGACAAAATGATGTCATCAAAATGGTTCGAAAGTTCGATGTATGAACTTTTTTGTTTTGTAATTAATTTTGCTAAATAATTTAATTGTAAAATTATATGCTAACAATGGAAATTAGGTGAGTGATGAAAAAAACGCTAATGACGCCCATTTTCCTTCACAGAAAGCCGTTTTCTGACTGACTCAATTAAAAAATTTATTAATATTTAGTTTCTAAATTCTGATTGACTTATCGTTACCTGCGGGATGGATATTTCTAACAGAATGAATGCAAAACAGTACGGGAAGAGCATGTTTATTTGCGAACAATGAAAAATGGCAATCCTTAGCTGATTAAAGTCTCACTGAAAATGATGTATTTTCGAGAAATGTTCTTCAAAATCTATAATTGCAAAAATGTTAGAAGACAGCCAACGCTCAACAAAGTAGTAACTTCTGCTGCATTGACGGAGAAAGCCGTTTTTGTGCATTCCGGTAAACCGTACGATCTATGATCAAAGGAAATCACGGAACTTCAATCTGTTTGCATAACAATTTTAACTGTAAAACTCTCTGGAAGATTTTATTAGATACAATGGCAAATCATAATTTCATGTATGGATGATCAAAAATTATAACCATCTATGCAGTATCGAAAAAATTCCGAATGATCACCTGACCTTTTCAACTCGAAATGGAATGAAGTTATTCGTAGAGTTGTTATAATGATTCAGTATACAAGCTCATCACTAAAAAATGATTATTGAAATGCTTTTAATTAAGTGAAATTAGAAAAAAGTTATTGCTTACACAGTGGTAGCAACAAAATTAAAAGTTAAAACAAAGAGGAAAGGCTGCGTCCAAGAATAGCAATATCGATTTACTTTTCAGGTAACATTTTTAACAAAGCTAATGAAAAAGACAACAAAAATAACTAAGCAATAAAAAAAAAAAGCAACGAATCGAAAAAAACTCCACTGTTGAGAGATAATCATTGAAAGAAATGAAAATCCTTTCTTATGATAGGAATTTGATCTGTTTTTGTATTAATTGTTTTTTTAGATCCTCATTATTTCTAACGAAGATGATATGAAAAAATTTGAAGGAAAATATTTTGACTAATTTGATAGTTTAAAATTTTCGACGCTTTTCTTAATATTAAAGAATGTAAACATCATTTACATAATCTTGCTTTTAAATATATGTTCCTGTTCGTGTATAAATATCTGAAAACTTATATTCATATCAGTTTGAACAAGAAATCATTTTTCATGCAGATTATTTCTTTCTTAGGTTTTGCTCGACTGAGTTTCAAAAGCTTTTTCGATTAGCTGCCATTTTCCTTACTTTTGTTAGCTATCAACAGAGGGTGAAGGTCAGTGGCAATGATATTTCACTAAAATATCTCTTATCATTTACCATTTGCTTACTGTATTAGACAGAAAAAAGCAATATTCGAATTGCATTCAATTTATTGTATTCAAATTGTATTTATTTTATTATGGTACTCATATTATATCCAATGTACTTATTGTGTTTATTTTTATTGTATTCATATTATGTTCATTGCATTTATTGTATTCCAATTGTATTTATTTTAGTATCATTGCATTTATATGCTTCTATTTTTTCTATATGTTTTATATGCCTTTATTTTAGTATCATTGCGTTTATATTTAATGTGTTCAAATTTATTTATTTTATTATCATTGTATTCATATTATATTCATTGTATTTATTGTATTCAAATTATATTTATTGTATTTAAATTTATTGGAAATGGAGAAAAAGATCAAACAATATGGAAGGATTCTTTGAAATTCGTGGCTCTTTTCAGCTTTAAACAAACATCGATTCCTACATTTTAGAGGAAATAGCTGGATTTCCACTAAATAGCAATAATAAATTATCACGATAAGTGACGAAGATTTCTTGATTACTAAGACTGAAATAATCATTTCTAAATTTGAACTCCAATCAGTAAGCAATCGGCAACAAAAGATTTAAATTTATTTCATTTTTTTTTAAAATTACATGTGCTGTACCTATCTGTTTTTGCTTTATGTAATACCACAGGATTTGATTTTTGCTAGTTCTTTTTCATGTTTATTAGCTTTGCAAAACTTTAGTTTTTGCTGCTTCAATTTGCAGCATATTTTTCGTATTTTGCGCATACATTTACCGGCTTTTTTATTAAATGCTTTTTTGTCAATTTTATTAGGATTTTCTTATTTTTTATAAAAATATATACTTCGTTTAATTTTAATTAATTTTCAATAATTATCACAATGTTTTTAATATGCAATACCTATAACCTATAAAACATTTTTTTTAATAATTTGAGGTAAGTATTTAGAATTTAAAGTAGATGCAATTTACAAGTTGTTTTTCATAAATGTATCAATTGGTAGTAATGTCTATTGGTAATCTCCACTTATTTTTCAAATTCAAGAAAACAGAATTCTCAAGAACTATTAAGAAATCCAAACTATTGATGATTATGATTTATCGTTAATGATTTAGAGATTTTGCGATAATGTTAGATCAATATTAGATCGTTATTGAATGTTATACGATTATCATATATTTCATGAATTAATTGTATTTCATTTCAAGTAGTTAGCAAAAATATTAAAAATTATCATAGATATTAAAAATTTGAAATATAACAATTTCAATATTAACTTGCAAGCAAACTACTCTTCAAGCTCATATTTTTAGGAAACATCTTGAAATATAATACTATTATGAATAATTCAATATTAAGCACCAAATTCTGGACAAAGCTTTTTAGTTTCTGGATACTGATGATCCATACGTTGTTTGAAAAGTTTCATTGCAATATTGAATTGTGCTCGAGAATGTTTTTGACGTTTCTTCGTAAGTGGTAAGTCGTTTATAGTTTTCATGCCACGATGTACCATAAATAAATCATTCACCAGTGCAAACGTATAATTTTGACGGCACATTTCCCAACGCTGCAAGGAATAAATTCATCAAATACAGGTAGATAATCCCGAACTATCAAATATTGTTACAAATTTAGTTAATAAGAGAAAAAAATTATTATTGCACAATAATTATTGATTGTTAATTTATTTTGTGCCTCATACTTGCAAATGTAATTTTTTACTTATAAGTTTAATATTTTTTTCCCTTCCATGTGTCTTATAAAAAAATCTAAGAGAAAAATAAATATTCATGATGATTCAATCAAATAAGTAATTTAGCTTCATCAAATACTTTGATATTTAAATTTTGTGCATTTCATTGATTACAATGGATAATTACGCTAAGTAAACTTTTAAGTTTAGGAAAAAGCAATGAAATAAAGTGATTGATCAATTGATTGACCGATTAAGTAACCTCTGAATCAATACAAATCATTTATATGTAATAAACTCAAAATAGGAAGTAAAGATATTTTTTTCAAATTGCGTAGAAAATGAATGTATTTATAGCAATAAGCTTATCTTTAAGCATTGTAAATATCTACTGTTCATCTTGTTTGCATTACTTTTAATCATAAATTATTTGCTACAAAAGAATAGTTATCAAGGGGGAGAATCTCCTAATCAGAATGATATAAAGTCCAGAAATAAGTTTACTTTTATTTGCATCGAAATTTTTACGAAAATGATATTAAATTTAATTATTCTCGTCAACAAATTTTAAAATCAACATGACTTTCTGATTAATATCTGTACAAAATGGTGATCAATTATATTCATCTGTCGGCCAAAGTCGAAGGAGTGATAAATTGACTACGTGTCGTTGCTTGGCTTCATCTCTGAATGTCCGGAGAACTGTGTGCCACGCAGTGTCCCCCCCCAACGAGGGTATAAATACCCAACTCGCGAATTACGTCATCACCCATCGAATGACTGTCACTTCTCTGTCCAAGCAC